TTTTGCAGAACTGGGCATTGAACTCAGGCCCTTGCGCTTGCCAGGGAAGCGCTTATTCTACTGAGCCTTCTCCCCAGTCCCTATTTAAATTATATTTTGCTTGTTTTGATTTTAATAAATCTGATTGTTCTTACTCCCTTTCAGTATCTTGCTTCTTGTTTGGAATACCAAGAATCCAGAAATAACTCTCATAAGACTCTCCATTTGGTAATAGTTGGCTAACCCCAAGTACCATTACTTCAAATACTCCTCTTAGCCGCAAGGCTCCTAATTTATGGGGTCTTACCCACATTCAGCATGGGCAGGAAGCTTTGAGCAGACAGGACTCATCAGAGAACATGTACAGTGGGGGAAGGGTCCTGAGTCCAGTTAAGCAGCTGGTGGGAGGGTGTTGCTTTGGACCAGCCTCCTGCAGCAGCCCAAGCCAGAAGGAAGTTACTCAAACAAAGGCGCACACAAACGAACCTCAGAGGAGGCCAATTTTCCTCAAATCACGTTTCAGTCAACCTGAGTCAGTGTCTCCAATGGAACTCACAAATTTATTTATTTATTTATTTATTTATAGATAGGGTCTTGTTATGTGGTTTAGGCTGTCCTTGAACTCACTGCATAGCCTGGATTAGTAGTCTTAAACTTGCAGCAACCCTCCTGCCTCAGCCTCCCAAGTGTTGGGATTATAGATATGTGCCACCATGCCCAGCATGCAAATCTATTTTTATTTTGTTTTTCAGTTTCTGCTTTCTTTCCTATAAAGACAACCTCCTCTGTTTAGCTCTTCAGAACATCTGTTGGATCTTACACAAAATTTGCTGTAATTTCCTTTTTTGATGTTTCCTTTGCTTGTCTCCTTTCTGTGGGCCTTCAATTCTGGTAGCTCTATACTAGTACTGGAATACCTACATATATCAAAATATTTCATCCTATTCATAAATTAATCTCTCTCTCTCTCTCTCTCTCTCTCTTTCTCTCTCTCTCTCTCTCTCTCTCCCTCCCTTCCTCTCTCTTTCTCCCTCCCTCCATGCCTTCCTTCCTGTCCTTATTCAAAGATGAATTGAGGGCCTTCTCACTGAGCTACATCTCCTTTCTTATTTTTAGACAGGGTTTCACTAAGTCTCTGAATTGACCAGTGCTTGGACTTGTGATCCTTCTGTCTCAGCCTTACAAAGTGCTGGGATTACAGGGGTGCCCCAATACCCTGTTTTCTTTATTTGCGGGGGATGGGGGGTAGGGGGGTGCAGTAGGAACTGGGAATCGGACTCAGGACCTTATGTTTGCCAAAGAGGCACTGTGCCACTGAGCTAAAACCCTGGCCTGCAGCTACACATTTAACTTTAAAATTAAAAAAATATATTTTTTTCTTTTTCTCTTGTTGTCTACCAAGCACACATACAATTAAGCTTCCTCTAAAAACTGCTCAAACTTGCGCACTAAATTTCCTAGGTTGGGCAAATGCCCTCAGTTAAGATGGCCGCCACCACTTTCCTTTGCCTTGGCTGCCCACAGTAAGAATGGTTCTCGTGGCTTCTTTTCAGACCTTGTTTTTCCCATAACAAAGATGGCACCATCGTTTCCGGTTCCGGCCTCTTGCTGTCGCGGGTTGGTGAGTGGCTTTATGCTGGGACGCTGTTGTCGCTGGGTTTTCTCCGTCCGTTCTCGCCAAGTACTTTGGGAAGGGAGCGAGGAAGGAGGGTGCGGGGTCCTTTGGCAATTGGGAACTGACGGCGGTTTTCCCCGACAAGTTACAGTCTCCGCCCGGCCACGTGTCCCACTGCCCCAGTGGGAGGTCGCTGTAGCCTCCACTTAGGAGACTGCAGCATTTATAAGCCGCGGATCTGGATTAGTTTCTGTGCTTTTTTTTTTTTT